ATCAAGCAACTCCTCTCCCTTCCCTACGCACATCAGCAGCAAGGTGTTGCAGAACGACTGAACAGGACCCTGCAGAACAGCATGCGCAAACTATTACGTGGCATGCGGCTACCCAACCACCAGTGGCCAGCAGCAATGGACCACGCTGTCATGCTACACAACTTGTTGTCGTCGTCGTCACTCCCGAACAACGCATCACCGCATCTGCTGTGGACAGGGAAGCAGGGCAGCACGAAAATGTTACGAGTTTTCGGGTGCATGGTACAGTACAGACCCCCAGAAGCACGAGCGGGAAGATTTTCGCAACGGGCACAGTGGGGACTACACCTCGGCATCGAGAAAAATTACAACGCATGGAAAATCTTCGACGTCCACACAAAGGAAACAGTAGCAGCACGTGACGTGATCTTCTACGAAAGACTCACCCTTCAGACGTACCTCGCCAACTTGCACGAGAATCGGGACCTCACCAGTGGTTTTCGTGGTGACCGAGCCTTCGCGTCAGCAGCGGACGAAGCAGACTGGGATGAACAGAACGTCGACAACGCCTCAGAAGAAGCCGGACCTCTCCCATACTGCTCCGTCGACGTGCCCATGGATGAGGATAATCCTCGCGACAGTAACAACGCCGAAACCTTCTACCGTTTCGCCGACGATGGTTACGTAACACCTGTGACAGTCAACACCAACGAAGCAGAAAGGGTAGGGCCAAATTTCATGCCTGACCCAGAAACGGGAGACGAAGCAGCTTATCCCGAGGATCCAGAACTCCCTCGATACTCACAGACTGGGCTGCAAATCCTCGGCCTCGTCACCGCAGTCCACGGGAACGCACGCAGCTCGCTTCCTAAGGAGCCTGCAACGGTTCAGCAGGCTCTGGGGGGGGAACACAGGGAGAAATGGCGTGAAGCCATGGATAGAGAACTGAAGGCATTAGAGGAACGCAACACTTGGAAGGTTGTTCCCGTAAGCGTGGCACGGAACAAAACCATCCTTACCGGAAAATGGGTCTTCCGCATCAAGACGAAAGCAGACGGCACGATCGAAAAATTCAAAGCACGCTGGGTCGTACGTGGATTCGACCAAGAGCAAGGACGAGACTTCACCGAGACCTTTGCTCCAGTCAGCCGCCACACGTCACTCCGAATTCTCCTCGCCATTGCCGCCATGAAGAAGAAGAAGTTACGGCAGATCGACGTCGCGAATGCCTTCCTCTACGCACCTGTGGATGCAGAAATCTACGTCGAGCTCCCGCACGGTTCCCACGGCGAACCCAACCGAATCTGTCAACTACTTAAGTCGCTCTACGGGATCAAGCAGGCACCGCGACTGTGGCAGCAGTACCTGCACGCCCGTCTCATCCGCATCGGCTTTAGTCAACTACCTCACGACCAAGGCATGTACCGCCTCACTAAGGGAAGCGACTACGTTCTCCTGATCGTCTACGTGGACGATCTCCTCTACATTGGGTCAACCGACGGCATCGCCACGTGGTTCGAAGGAGAGCTCCAGAAAGACCTCACGCTCACGGTCTCCTCCACCGTTACACAGTACCTCGGGCTCAACATCCGCGAAGAAGAAAACGCCATCTATCTAAGCGCCGAGAAATACGCCGACACCATCGCGAAACGCTTCAGCCTCACACCAAGCGCCATCTCCACGCCCTACCGCTACACATCAGGAACCGAGAAGGAACGAACTACTCTACTCAAGCCCGCCGGCATACGCGACTATCAGAAGAAGCTCGGATGCCTGCTATTCGCCGCCGTCACCTGCCGTCCTGACTTATCCTACTCCGCAAGTCAGCTCGCCACCTATCTCAAGAAGCCTGAAGCTGAACACCTGGCGGAACTTGATCGCGCTCTCCACTACTTCGTCAGCACCGCGACGATCGGGCTAACCTACCACAAGAGCGCAGCTACACCGACTAAGCTAATCGGCTACGTCGACGCCGATCACGCCGGCGACACCGACAACAGGCGCTCACGCACCGGCTATGTCTACCGCCTTGAGCCTATCGGTCCTATCTCCTGGCAGTCGAGCAAGCAGGAGTTAATCGCACTATCTTCAGCAGAAGCAGAATATATTGCACTCTGCTCAGCCACCAAGGAGGGACTTTACCTTCGCGAACTACTGGAAGAAGCGAAGCTAGCCGAGTTACCCAGCTTCACCGTGTTCTGCGACAACCAGTCAGCAATTCGCATCGCCAACAAAAACGGCTTCGCAAACAGGACGAAACACATCGCCCTGCGCTATTTCTTCGTGAAGGACGAGATAGAAAAAGGGAAACTCGATCTGTCATACTGTCCAACATCCGAGATGGCAGCCGATTACTTGACCAAGAAACTCGGCAAGCAGAAGTTCGAATACTGCATGATGCTGACTGGACAAGGCCACGTCACCAGCAGTAACACTCCAGAAGCGAAGGGGAGTGTTGGAAACAATAAGTCCTAAGTGCGCTTCTGTCGTATCAAAATCCAAGGTACCAAGCGAAGCAGTCCCAATCGAAGCATCGAGTCAACCTCGGAGGTTAGGGTAACCGCCTGGAGGTTACGAGAAAGTCAAAGGTCGCTGACCTTTGACTCGACAATTACAGCGCGACAGTTAAGGACACACAACTGACTCGTTACAGAGCAGTTGCCCGAGTCGCGCTATATCGAACCGCAACAGCAATACAGTTATCTATCTATTCCTTGTACTCTTATATAAATCCTTGTATTTGCTTGTTTAATTCAATCAACTTTGCTCTCACACACCAGTGCAAGGTCGGTTCAAATTCTTCACTAAACGCTTCCGCTATTACAACTACTTCACCTAGAGTTATCCCTTGCAAAGATCCTAAGGGGCTATCTCAGCCCAACAAAAACTAGCTGGAAGTATGCGACGGCGATCGATCGTGGCTGGCACTGGTGGCGCGATCTCGATTCCCGTGCTGCCAATCGCACGATCGATGTGGAAGTTTGAGCCATCTGATCTCGACAATCTGCGTGTGCAAGATCTTCGCGACAGACTAAACTAAAACGGGATACATAGAATTCACGAAATGGTGAAGTCACTGTACAATGTGCATACCGATCTTTCACAGGGTCGGTGTTGCAGTTGTGGCGCGTTGTAAGGATTTACAGAATCCTTACTGCGGCACTCGTTAGCGAGGTCATCCCGAGGGTCACGCGACGAACCTGTCCTTCCTATTTCGTCGCACCGAACCACTCCCGAGTCGCCTCCTCACTAATCGCAACCATCACCCAGCCATCCTCGCCCAACCTCTCCGCCTAGCTAGGACTTCCCCTATTTAGTCGTGCTTTTCTCATTGTATCATTCAGTGAATTCAGTACTCAGTCATTCTCGTTATTCGTTTTACTGCGCACTCTGCAAGTTCATTCATACCACGCGTCCTGATGCAAAGCACACCTCGCAGGACCTTTTCCAGCCTGCAACTTCCGTCAGGTTTGCCGTCATTGATGCTCAAAACCAAATTGACGGAAAAGCGAAAGTGCTTTTCTAGACGTCTTTTCTTGTCCCCCCCAATCCCAAGGTCATGCTCGCGTTTGATGATAGTCATGTGTGTGCGACGGCTCAGATTATTCCACCTCTGACATGCAAGGATATTATCTCTCGAGAACTCCGACTCGACGCTAGGAGTATCGTCCTTCGATACTGCCTGCTTCCTGGATTTTTTATGCAGCCCCACTTAGTGTTTCTTCTCTTGGCGTGCTTATCACGGTACCTGTTGTATAATCTTAGGGTTCGGGTATTGTGGCTTTACAAGTGTGGTTGCGCTCGACATGCGACAATCTGTTAACCTCCGTCGCCATATCCCTCACCATACCCTTCTTCATCCATTAACTCGTTCTGACACTGCTTTTTGCCTTGTTAAGTTGTTTTATCGCGATCAACAAAGAATCAGTTGTCGTTTATATTTTAAAACGAAAGAGCCACAAACGATGGCGCATCGAGCTTCCTCCGCCTCTTCCGGCGCGGGAGAGCCGCGAGTCTGGGCTCCCAGGCGAAGCCAGCGATTAGATCAACGGCCAGGATTCGCATCAGCCGCTGCTGCTGCCCCATCTGCCGCTGGTCGTAGCTCCAATGTTCGTCCAGTTAGGCCGAGCGGGTCTCCCGCCGCAGCTCCCGCTGAGGGACACAGCGTTACGAGCCGCACCCCGGCGCATTACCGCCGTTCGTTAGCAGAGATCGCGGCGGCGTCGTCCTGCGGCAGCCGGCCCGCGCCCGGCGGAATGACAGCGGTGGTGGGCGAAGCGAGTCTCACGGCGCAAGTCGCGGACAACCTCACTCTGCCGCCTCACGGCGTCGCATCCGCAGCTTCCTCCTTAAACGGTGGAGATGGCGGCGGAAGCGCGGCTGGCGCAGCCAGGGAAGCGGGGGGCGGCGGAGACGGGGGGGTGTGGGGGGAGCAGCATCATACGGGGGTGGGGACCGCGGCTGTTGATTGGCCGGCTATCGCGAGCGCGTCGCACGAATTCGTAGATGGCGCGGCAGCGTCGGAGTCGTCTGAGGTGCCAGTGGCGAGAGACATGGAGTCCGGGAAAGAGGGAGGCGACCCCCATTGGGTGGACGGTCACAGACACCACCAGCAGCAACAGCACAACCAGCAACAGCAGCAGCAGCACATGATGGAACAGCAGCAGCAACATCATCAGCAGCAGGAGCAGCCGGCGGCGCCAGCGCCGCCAACAACGGCGATTACATTGCAACACATGCAGCAGCACGAGCAGCAGCAGCAGCAGTTTCTGCAGCACCAGCAATCGGTTTTAGCGCAGCCGCCGCTACTACCGCCGTTGCAGCCGCAGCTGGTGCAGGCGCATCAATTGCAGCAGCGGGCGCCACAGCAGCAGCAGCAGCAACAAGTTTCTTTAGGCGCCCGCCAATCCAACGCAGACGATCACAATCACAATCACCACCAGCATAATCATCATCCTCATCATCACCACCAGCAGCAGTTGCCGTTGCAGGCGCAACAGGCGCCGCGGCACCCAGTCGCGATGGCGGACGATCAAGCCTCTGTCGACAGCCACGAGGAGAGCTTTGCGCAGATCGCGCCGCCCGTCGCGCGCGCGCAGGTCTCGCAGTCCAACTCCGTCGTTGACGGGCGGCGCGGCGGGGGCTGGGGCGCAGGGGGCCGCGGAGTCGAGTTCCGCGGGCAAGTGCAGACGCGCTCGACGCGCAGTGGCCGCGGACGCGGAAGCGCGGGCGGACAGGGCGGAGTTGCGCTCAGCGGCGTCGGCGCGGTGGGGGAAGTCGGCGCAGGGCCTGGCGGAGCGGGAGTATGGGGAGCCGCTGAGGGGGACGGCAGTCGCGCGGGGTACTGGGCGGGGGCGCCGGGTGAGGGCGTAGGGTTAGCGGGAGAGCGGGGCGCGGGGGCGTTTTCCGCCGTTGGCATCCCCGCGCCTGCTGCGTCCGTCCAGAGCCAGGGGTCTTCGCTAGGCAGCGGGCATGACGCGGGGGGAGGTGCGGGCGCGGGCGCGCACAAGAGGCAGCGGGGGAGGCGATCCGCGCATGCGCCCGCGATGGCGGAGGTGCACATGGCGGCGGATCCGGGCGGGCGATTCGGGGATTCGGACGAGGTGTCGATTGGCAGCATGAACGCGTGTAGCAGCGGCGCCAGAAGCGGGGGAGGCGGAGGCGCTAGAAGCGGGGGGGGCAGCGCGGGGGGAGCAGTGGGCGGAAGAGAAGGCGCGGGTGGAGTTGGGGGGAGGGATGAAGAGGAGATGGGGGGCGCTGCTGCCTCAGGGGCGGGGCTAGGGGGGCGCGGAGGGGGGAGTGGGCGGGGGAGGCGAGGGGGAGGGGGGAGCAGGCAGGCGCAGGGGTCGCAGACAGGGGGAAGGGGGCAGGAGGATCGTGAGATAGACGCTTTGGGACGCTGCATGTAAGCCAGGAATCGAGGGTGTATTGTTGGGGCGTCGCATCGCATGTCCTGTTTTTGGAGCCACCTCACTCGCTCCCTCCTCACTCCTTCCCCACCTCACTCACCCCCTTCTCCCTTCACTCCTTCCCCGTCGCACTCTCTCCCACATCCCTCCCTCCCTCCCCACCTTTCTCCGTTCCTCCGCACTCCATCCCCTCCTTTCCCCATGCCATCCTGTCTGTCTCTGTCTCTCTCTTTCTGTGTGTGCCTGCGTGTGCTCGTGTGCTCAGGACCAAGATCCTGCGGCACCAGGCGAGCCAGCTGGGATTGCACGTGGCGCCAGATGGCTTCGTGCGAGTGGCCGATCTCCTGCTGCTGCCCGTCAACACCAACGCCCACCGCGCCCTCGCCTCCCACACGCTGGAGGACGTGCGCCTGGTACGGGGACTGATTGATTGACTGGGACTGATTGACTAATTGAAACGTCTAAAGAATTCACGTCTTTCACTTGACGTGCGCCTGGTACGAGGACTGATCAATGATTTGCTGCTGTGATGCAATTATTGTCCATGTGAGTTTCCCGCCTGACTTTTATGATGTTGTCAACTCCCTGCTTCGTCCCCCAGGCTGTGGCGCGGGACAACAAGCAGCGCTTCACTCTGAGGGAAGGGCCGGGTGGGGAGGTGTATGTGCGGGCGAACCAGGGCCACTCGCTGCACGTGGACGAGGAGCAGCTGCTGCGAAGAATCACCGACCCCGCTGCCCTTCCAGGTAAGATGTGCGTGTATTGAAAGTCACATTCGCTGCACGTGGACAAGGAGCAGCTGCTGCAAAGAATCACCGACCCCGCTGCCCTTCCAGGTAAGATGTGCGTGTATTGAAATTCACATTCGCTGCACGTAGACGAGGAGCAGCTGCTGCGAAGAATCACCGACCCCGCTGCCCTTCCAGGTAAGATGTGCGTGTATTGAAAGTCACATTCGCTGCACGTAGACGAGGAGCAGCTGCTGCGAAGAATCACCGACCCCACCTCCCTTCCAGGTATTCTACGGTCTGGGTTGACTCACTATCCACATTCGTTGCACGTGGACGAGGAGCAGCTGCTGCGACGGATCACCGACCCTGCTGCCCTGCCAGGTAAGCCGGTGTGCATGGCACACACGAACGCCACCTGCTGCACCTGGAATGACGCAACCTCTTCCCCTCTCTCCCCGTGGTTCATCAGAGTGTGTGCTGTGCATGCATGGTACGTATGAGCGTCACGAGTGCCACCTGTCTTTGCTTCCCCCCCTCCTCCCTCTCCCCCACCTCCCTCCCTGCGCTGCGCCCACCAGAGTGTGTGCATGGCACGTACGAGCGGCATCTGCGAGCCATGCCTCGTTGGAATGGTGCACCGTGATGATAAAAGTGTTTTGAGACGTCTCAAAACTCGTTGGAATGGTGCACCCATATGTCCCCCCGATTCCACCCACCCACCCCCTCTTCCCACCCCTCCCTGCGCCCACCAGAGTGTGTACACGGCACGTACGAGCGCCACCTGCCATCCATACTGGCGTCGGGGTTGAGTCGCATGAACCGGCAGCACGTGCACCTCACCAAGGGGGTGCCCTCGCAGCACCACTCCGTCGTCAGCGGTACGCTGCACCTCCTGAGACACTTGAGAGGTTTTCACATGTCTCGCTCTTGATTTCTTGTTTCCTTTTTTCTCTCGTATCATCAGCATCCTCAGCACCTCTCAGCGCCCACCTCACTTGCTAGGCCAGGTTTCAGCACCTCACCTGCCATCTTTCTCCTCTCCCTGCTTCGTCCCACATACCCCACATCACTCGCCTCTCTGCTGCAGGCTTTCGTTCGAACTCAGAGGTGCTGGTGGTGGTGGACGTTGCTCGCGCCATGGCAGGTGGGTTGCGCGTGGCATGAGCTCCTGGGGCTGTTTTTTTTTTTTTTTTTTTCAGCGCGCCTCCACTTACTTCCTTCCTCATCCCTGCCACTACCGTCGCCACCCCTTCCCCCACCTCTATCCCAGACGGCATGCCATTCTTCGAGTCAGACAACGGGGTCATCCTCACGTCTGGCTTCCATGGCTACATCCCTCCAACCTACTTCGCCTCCATCCTCAAGTGGCCCTCTCTCCTCCCCCACCCCCTCTCCCCTCCTCCTCCCCACCCCCCCCATCCTCCTCTACCCGCCCTTGCTCCTGTCCCCCCCGCTGCTTCCGCTGCTGTCTGTGCGGGGGAAGCAGCAGGGCCGTGTTTAGACCCGAATATGGGGGGGTTTGCTGTATGTGGACCGAATGTTTCAGAGGAAGGGTTTACCCCCGTGCCTCCTGCTGCGTCGGCGGCTGTGTGTGTGGGGGAGGCGAGTGTGAGGAGCGATGGGGGGGGCATGGGGGATGAGGGGGTGGGTGGGACGGCGGAGTCTGGGAGAGGGGAGGTGGGCGGATCGAACGAGGACGAGGAGATGGTTGATTGATGGAGGGAGGAGGTGAGAAGACGGTGGGATGATGGAGGGAGGAAGTGAGAAGATTGTGGGATGGAGGGAGGAGATGAGGTTATGGTGTGGTGACAAAGAAAGATAAGGTGATGGTGGGATGATATGATGATGATGGTGGGATGAGGAGGGCACACTGGGACTAAAGAGTGGTGGATATAGGACTAACAGGAGGGGAGGAGATGGGAAGGGAAGGGCTGACCGGAGCGATGACAGCATCTAGCTCAGAGCTCATTTCTGCTAACCTCACTGGAGCTCTGTTAATGACGAAGTTCAATATAGAGAAGATGCACACTGCATGAACTTGTACGATAATGACGATTTTGTTTTTATATGTACTCAGTGCATTGCAATATCATACGGCACATGAAAGGAATCTGGAGGCCTGTGTGAATCTGGAGTAATCTCACTGTTGGTGCTGAATAGCAGAATACAGTGTACCAATTGGATAAGGGCCAACTCGTTACTGCAACATGGAAGGAGAGTCCAAGAAGATTAATATGCCTTTATACAAGCAAAGCATTAACATTCTGTACCACATCAGACTTTACAAGAAGGCGATAATATAATACAAGCAAAAGACGCAAGCACAACTGTACAGTGGACGTCAGAAGATCCATGCAACACACACAACAGATGCCTGGGACGCCTTGAAATTGCCTTGGGATCGCCTTGGGTTGCCTTGGGATCTCCTTGGGATCGCCTCGGGATCGCCTTGGGACGCCTGGGACGCCTGGGATCGCCTTGACGCTCCCTTGCCTTGTCGTGACACGCGTCCTTGTCATCAGCACCATTCTCCCAGGGCCCAGACCTCTTTATTTCCATAGTCACCTCTGTCATCTTACTTAAAGTATAATATCCCCTTGAACAGGGCACCCCTCCTGCTCCACTCTCCACCCACCTCTTCTGCTGCTCCCTGCTGCACTCTCCTGCTGTCCGGCCATCTCCCATGCTCTTCGCATGTCTCCTACACCCTCTCTCAATTCGAGTCATCCCGACCCTCTCCCATCCCCCCCTGCCCCACCCTCCCCATCCTCTTCTCCCTCCCCAACCTCCTCTCTCTCCTCAGAGCACTCAAAAGCCCCCAGAAAATCTTCGCTGCACCCACCATCCCTCTCCCTGTCCCTTCGCCTTTTCTCCCCAACGCCCTGCCTCTGCCTGCTGCCACTACCCCCGTGGCTTAGCAAGGTCTCGGAATCAGGTGATTCTGGGGTTTCGAAACGAGGGGATATGGGAGTTTTAGAAACGCCCTTGCTCGCTGCAACCCTCTGCGACTCCCCACCGCCCTGGCTTTGCTTGGTAATGCTGCCAGCGTGGCTTACGTTGCGCAGCAGAGGGAGTGGGGGCAGGCACAGGTGCGGGCCGCCGAACCTGCTTGCCGAACCTGGGTAGCTGGGGCTGCATGGAGTTGTCTTATCCTGATGCTCAGGCTTCCCCTGTTGCTGGTGCTGGTGCTGGTGCTGCTGCTGCTGCTGCAGCTGCTGCCGGTGCTGGTAAAAGTCCAAGGGTGGTTGCACTCGTAGCCTTTGCTGCTGCAGCTGCTGCTGCTGCTGCCTCTTGTGCTGCTGCAGCGGTACTTCCTGCTTCACTCCCTCCAACCGTACCTGCTCACTCTTCACCACTCTGCGTGCTCCTTTCTTCTCACCACAATCCACCTTAACCTCCCGGCAAAGATCCTTCTGCACCGCTCTGCACCCCAAGCACAGGAAGCGCATGGGAGCAGGCGCAGCATCCTCGATCCCAGCGCACCGCGTGTGCTGCCACACGCCGCACTCGTCGCACGCGATCATGCGCTCGCCGTCGTCGTCCCGCGCGCCGCACACGCACCGCACGGCCCACGTGTCGTTGCCGCCCTCGTAGCGCCACTCGCTGTGCGCATCAAGGCTGGATATGGCGAGCAGCAGAGAGGCGCCCGAGTCGAGCGAGCCAAAGAGCACATCGTCATCATCAAGATCCGCCAGGTCTTCCGGCAAAGCAGTGACCTGCAGATAAGGGAGGAGAGGGAACAGCGAGATAGGTGAGAGAGCTGCAGAGGAGGGCAATGCAATGCTAAGCACGATATGTGTAATGCCGATCGGATAAGCAAGGAGCAGAGCAGCGCATCAAATACACCGGATCTAGCACAACTGCATGTGACTACTCACCCACAGGTCAGGCCTGCTCCGGTGCCGTACCTGCATGTGCCGAGCCACAGGGTAGGTCTGGGCGAAGGCTCGGCAGGCAGCAGCCTTGAGGTCCGAAACGGTTGCTTCGGGCGGCAGGGTTATGAGCTCGGGCGGAGGTATGGACCAGTCACGAGCGGTGTCTGCATCCCGTGCATCAATGCTGGTGGGCGGGCGAGAAGGGGGAAGGAGAAAGGGAGGGAGATGAGCGGCAAAACAGGACACTGGAATTGAGTTCAGCATTCACTGCATTGGGTTTGAAGGGACGTGTATCAACATTGCAGACGGTAAAACCTCCACAAAACAAATTACCACACGAAAACACAAAAAACCACCTGCGCCAGATAAGACCTGCAGAGCAAACTACCTGCAGAGCACTCGAATCGTCCCATCCTCCTCTTCACTCGTTGCCTCTGTAGCGACGCCATCCCTCCCCTCTCCCCCCTCTCCACCTGCTGCCGCCACCGCCGCTCGTGCTGCTTGCTCCCTGGTGAGCTCGCCCTTGTAATCCTTAAAGAATTGCTTTGTATCGAGTATGGTTTGCACGGCCTCAGAGAAAGCAGCCAGGGAGAATTCTGAAGAGGTTATATCTGCCTTAGTCTCCCGCTGCTCCTCCTGCTCTTGCTCGTGCTGCTGCTGCTGCTGCTTCTGCTGCTGGCGGTGCTGCTGACGCTGCTGCTGGTGCATCCTCTGATGCGGGTGGCAGTGGCCGTGAGTGGATGTGACAGTAAAGAGCAGGTGCTTGTACAGGAACTCCACGTCGCGAGTCACATCAGCCCTGGTGAAGGGCGCAGCAGTCAGCACAGCAGGAGTCACTGCCGCCGCCACTGCCCCTGCTGCCCCTGCTGCCACCAAGGCTGCTGCTGCTGCTCCAGCCCTTGCCCCTGCCTCTGCTGCTGTCCCTGCAACCATGTCGTCGCTATGACGGTTGCTGCCCAAGCAAGAGCTCCTAAAAGCAGGCTCAAAAGACCGCCGCTGATCCCCTCCCAAGTCTACAGCTCCGTTTAGAGTAAGAGGCGATACTGGCCCCATCGGCACCTCTCCCTGCTGCCCCTCCAACCCTCCTCTCCCCTCCTCCCCAACCACCCCCTCCCTCCCCTCTCCACCCCCTCCCCCACCCCTCTCCCCACCCTCCCGCTGCAGCGGCTCTAAGCTAAACTCCAGCACTTTACTAAGCGGATTAATCGCTCTCCGCACCACCACATCCCCGACCAACCGATTCCCCAGCGACTTCAGCACAAAATCCAACAACCCTGTGTCGCCGATCCTCTGCCGAGCCGCCTCCCGAACCTCGTGCCGAGGCAGCCAGGCGCCGGGGCGGAGGGAGAGCACGTCCACGATGACCTGCTGGGCCAGGTGGAGGCGCTTGGAGGACCAGCGGCAGGAGGGCGAGTCGGCGGGCAGCGGGCTGATTATGATTGGCTCGTTGCAGAGAAGGCGCCTGGAATAGTCCCCTGCTGCTGCTGCTGCTGCCGCTGCCGTCGCTGCTGTTACCGCTGCTGTTGCTGGTGGTGGTGCTGCTGGTGTTGTTGGTGTTGTTGGTGTTGCTCTTGATGCTGATCCTGCCAAAGCGCTGCTGATGGGGCTGTCGAGGAAGAGGAGGGTTCGCTTGCTCCTGGGAGTGATGGTACTGGGAGTGACTGTACCGGGCGTGATTGTAGAGGGAGTGGGAACGTTGGGAGATGGAGGGACGTCCATTTGTTGGTAGCTGATAGGCGGAACGGGGGACGGCAGGGCCTGCTGCTGCTGCTGACGCAGCAGGCGCTGCTGCTGCTGACGTGGCGACAGCTCGTCGGACAAGCAGGAAGCGGAGGTAGGGCTGGGCTCGCCCGACAGCTGGCGCGCCGCCATTGGCTGCAGCGGCGGGAAGAGCGGGGGGAGGGTGAGGGGCGGCGGAGGGGCGAGGAGGTGACGAGCAGAGAAGGAGAGGAGGGGGGAACGGGAGGAGGCAAGAGAAGGGACAGCAGCTAGCGGCGCTGCTGCTGCAGCAGCAGGAGTAGAGGGAGCAGTGGGAGGAGTAGGGGTAGTGAGAGTTAAGGGGAGCGGGAGAGAGGAGGGGTGGAGGAGGTGGGGGAAGTGGTGGTGCTGGTGGTGCAGCGGGAGGGGGAGGGAGGAGCGCAGGGCGAGGAGGGATGAGAAGAGGTGCTGCAGGGTGAGGTTGGGTGGGGCAGCATGCGGGCTGTGCGGGCCATGTGAAAAATGAGGGGCATGTGGTAGGTGGTGATGGTCATGGTGAGTCTCATGTGAAGCATCCAAGACGTGTGGGCACAGACTGGTCCTGCGGTTTTCACCCTCAGACTGGTCCTCAGACAGGCACTTGTTCCCAACCACATGCGACTGATACTTGGCAACCACTGCTGCTACGCGGGAGGCAATCCCCGTGTTGATGCCCCGGAGCTGCTGCAGCAGCGGCAGCAGGCGTGTGCCGGCCACACGCGCTACAGCCTGGCTGTAGCGGTGCTGCGTGATGCCAAAGGCGCCGTGAGCAAAGGAGTAGCCCCAGCGGGCGAACCAGGAGTGCGAGAAGGCGAGAGTGTGGAGGAGGCGATAGTCTGAGGAGAAGGAGAGCTTGTGCGATAGGTCCTCTACGCTCACCTCCCTGTGAGAAACAGGGGAAAACAGGAGATGAGAGTGAGGAAAGATGTGCGTGTCAGTTGACTGACATTACCAAGTAATGTTGCTCGTTGATGTTAAAGAGGGGCACTCAAGAGTGCTCTGACGGGGAGCATGCCGAGGTCACTTTAGAGTCGACTCCAAACACATGCATGCATACATCCTACAAGATCTCAAACATGTCTTACCTGGCGCGACTACCAAAAA